CACCAAAGCAATACGCCATCCAGCACAGATGATTTTTCATAAGAAAACATCGGCAATTGAACACTTGCAAAAAACTACACAGGAAATGCTGCCCAGCAAAGCACGATTCTAGTGAAGTGTCCAAACATGCCTAAAAGCAATAGATCGTCAGCAGAACAGACACTAACATATGGTCCCCACGTGTAAACAAGGGTTACATTTGCCGTCTTGTAGAGGAGTCCATCCTATAAGGTTGGCAGGCTTCCAACAGGGAACATTGATTTGTGCCCAAAACAGTGATCGACAAACAGCACAGGCAGCAAACTCGTCGGTCTGAAGGACTCCCTCCGTTCCTAAATATAAATGCATCTATATACATCTGCATGTGGTCCATAGTGAAATCTCTACAAAAGCTATATTTAAATACGGAGGGAGTACCTCCGATCCATAATAAGTGTCGCAGTTTTGAACCAAGGTTGAACTAACCTTAGTTCAAAACTGAGAAACTTATTTGGATCGGAGGGAGTATTACACAACATAACACAGAATGATTCCAATATACAGACGCAGAACATAATAAGACTTAAGCAAGACACGTGTTCTACCATCTCAAACACGCAATGATATGGAGATTGTGTGACCAAACAAGGGTGTGACTGTATCTAAAAGAGCATGACTTTCTTTCCCTTGAAGTAACCGTATCTCAGTGTGCGGCCAGATTTGGGATCAAAGACATCATCATCATCAGACTTATCCTCATCCACGTAGTCAGGATTGCGCCAGCACGGCATGGGCACAGGCCACCTGCAGTTCAATTTTAATGAAATAATTTGTCCAAAACTTAACCCCATCTTAATATGCATCAGAAGACCAACCTGTTCAACTTATTGTTGTCATCTTCATCCATTTTCAAGAAAGGCGTGCCAGAGGGATCACTATCATTGCCAGCTTCACCAAGTTTACTGTCAAACATACCAATAAAAAGATTATGCTTCAGCAAGCTTCTTAAAATATTCAGATAAGAACTTATGTGATAAGCACTTGGATACCTTTTTGTCTCAAACAATGCTAGAATTTTGAAAATCTCCTCCAAAAACAGGAACGGGGTTCCTATTCTCTTATCATAGAAGTTCATGCCAATAACATCCCCATCAAGACTGACAAGAGGGCCTCCAATCCCAGCCTAGCAAGTTGACATGGAAAAGCTGTGATTTCTATTCCAAATAGGTATTGCTAGCCAACTTATTCCGATGCAACTATACTTTTTCAGAAATACAAGGCGTATTTTGTCTGCCCAAATTCAAGCTTTGACCATTGATTAATCCAATAATATCTAGGTTTTGTCAAAAAAAAACATATTCCAAAGTACTTTCTCATAGCCATGTTAACTGCAAGCAAAATAATGTCAGGGGAATTTACAGTCAAAGCTCGCTTTTGGACAGTCAAAACTACGCCTTGTAGAAAAACAGACGAGTATTTACTATCACCACAAAAAATCAGGGAATAAGAAACACTGGATTACCTTAGTGATTTTACACGTGGAAGTTGAGAGGAAATTGCAATCAAGTGTGCCTGTCCAGGAAACCAGATCCCCACTAGTAGCCATTAACACACCTGATTTGAAGCACCGCCCTACAGCTGCTACTTTAAAAGCCTTGTCCCAACGAAGCAGAGTATTTAATGGACGAATGGCAGGGTAATCCTTGACAGTAACTAGAGCGACGTTGTAATGCAGACTATAATGCTGTAGTGTCCCTTCTATGCATTGGCTGTTATTAAGCAACACTTCAATCTGCAAATAATACAGTGATGAGACTTGAGCAGCACCTCAAAAGAACAGCAGTCGCAAAACAAGGAGCACCAACCCTCAAGTTTTCAACAATCTTGTTCTCATCACCAGAATTTCTAACCAAGCTTGCTGATGTCAAAATTATCCTAGATCCATTCCATTCAATAAAGAAACCCGTGCATGCAAAAACCCTTTTTTCTCCTGCATGATTCTGGCTATTAGCTAGTTGTAATCAAAACAGAGATGAAACAGTAAATGGCACATTACTGTAGAATCACCACTGAATGAAGCCAGTGCGACAACATTGTGATTTATGTTAGAAGCTCTTTTACTAAATTTTCTCCAGACACCTTCACCATGTATGTCGCCAAAAGTCTCTTCAAAAGTATTAACCAAAATCATGCCAGCTGGAGAAATATACAATTGTAGAATAGTTGTTAGTGTGGTACAGGATTGCTGTAGAAGGTCAGAAATTTAGAAGCAGTGACACACCTCCTAACATGGAGGACGGTAACTTCGGGTAACCCATGGAATCTAGATCGAACTGCTCCTGGTTGAGCAATTCTACATATACTGGCAACAAGGTCAAAGTGATCAGTACTGACATATACTATACATGAAAGTAAATTCACATAAATCCTGCATATGATAAGCATGTAACATTAGTTATATCATGACAACAGCCTGAGCACAACTAACGTTAGAAGTCGGCATGCATGAACATACCCAAGAATGTAGTGTACATATGCTAACTGATAAGATCTAACAATATGATAAGTGAAAAGGCCAGACTAGTTGATATACACATGTAAACACTAGACTTGCACAGCTTCTAAATAACTACTATTACAAAGTACAAACTGCAACAATATGCATAATACCACAATGTTAAGTAGTCTCGAGGAGTGGGGGGTGGCTGTGTGCTCACCTTCTGGATGGCTGTTAGATTTCTCAGCTATTGGTCTTGCTCCAAACCTGCCAAACATATAAATGACTAGTTGACTACTAACCAAAATGCAAAATGGATCAGACCAGTGCATTAATACGCAAAATGGTGCCAGAACCTACATGGATGGAATCATAGGCAAGGAACAAGATAGAGAAATGAGGACCCCAAGTCATGCAAAAAATGTTTCATGAAAACATGATCGTAATGCACATTCCAACAAGACAAACATACAGTTTACAACATTGGCACAAGAAATAGAGTGGGGACATCCTGAACCCATGGGCATATGACCCGCTTTTTAAAAATGCATTTTAAACGCGTTTTACAATGTCAAAAAATTCGAAACAAAATTTCACACATACATCTTCGCAACATGTGTGTGCGGCACAAAGTTTTGTGAAAATATCTCTATTTTGCCATAGCAAAGAAGACAAATTTCAGTGCTTCTAAATAGCGTTCCATGACCCTTTTTTTTGTCTTTTTTGCACAGGCCAAAGAAAAGGTTGTTTTTTCCCAAAACTTCCTGTGCGCACATAGAATTTGAAGATGTATGCGTGAAACTTTTTTCAGAATTTTTTTGGCATTTAGAAATGAGTTTTCCAAAGTGGTTTCATATGCCCATGGGTTCATCCATGTACTTCCCAAGAAATATGACTAATCTAGTACAGGACAACTGTGGATCTATGATACAAGCCAAAGGGGCAAATATTTTGGTTGAGGTGGCAAAGGAACATGTAAATATTAAAAGTAAACACTGTGAACTGCAAAGCACAGATCCCAAATAGGCTAAGGAACAGCAGAGAATGATCCAGCAAGAGCTAAGGTAGAGTAGAGTTGGTGAACAAAAGGGCATATATCAATAGATGTACCGTGCAAGACCAGTCTTCTTTTGCTGGGACGTCCAGTAATGCTCCAGATGCTTGAGAATTGTGCCACATGGTAGGAAAACGGCTCTTCTAGTAGTCAGAAAAAGGTTCATGCCAACAACCTTCCCACCAACAGAAAGAAGTGGCCCACCTTCCCAAGCCTATAACACAACAAAGGTGACAGGCAACAAGGGTTAAATTTGAACAAAATGTTGTATAGAACAACAGTTAAATATAAAATCATTCTTATTGTCTCCATTCATAACAGAAATAGACTAAAATGCTCATCTCGTCATGCAAGTGTACCTCTGAGATTTTACAATCAAGATCTTCATCATCATCAGATACCTTTAAATCACCATCCGATTCCACATTCTTGGTCATTATTTCACCATTGACGTCACGCCCCATAACTACTAATTTCTCACCATGGGGGAGAATTCGCGGTGCATGTTGGAAAGATTGAACCTGAACATCAAGGAACGCATCGACATTGACAACAGCAAAGTTGCGATCTAAATCATATTCAGCCATCACCCCCATATACACTTCATTGCCTTCATGGCGCACTTCAATCTACAGAATGGTAAGGCAAGAAATAAGCACACAATTATCAGAAGTGAGCAAAATTAGTAAAGGATGATTGTCATTGCCAACCTTCAAGTCATCATGGTCTTCATTTGTACCATTCAGAGCTCTAACCAAACTTGCAGAAGTCAGAAACCTTGTAAGGTGGCACCCCTTGCGTTCCATAGCTATGCCCGAGCATGAAAATAGGATTGTGCCTTCTGCAGAAGATCGCAATTTAAATTATTTATAACTGGCTGTGTTCAAATATATTTTGTTGGAAAATTGAGAAGACTGAGCATATATAATCACCATTGTACAAAGTAATAGAGACGACGCTTTTAGACATGTATGATATTAGCCTATCACTGAGCCCAGACCGAACACCTTGATCAGAGTCCCCAATGAAGCAACCTAGTTGAAGGAAATAAAACATTAAGGCAACTGTGAATAATCAAATTAAGCTCCGGAAATTTCAGGGGAAACCTAGGAGAGAAGAGGAAGATCTAGCAGACCTGAGACCAATGATTCATTTTTGGAAGCTCTTCTGCTCTTAAGAAAGCTTCTAGTGAGATGATCACCGCTCCTCTTAGCTTTCCGCATCTTTTTGAAGACTGGAGCAGACCTTCCTTTTAGACAGTAAAACAATAGGGAAAAATGTGGGGTCATAAGCGGTGAAGCAGCGATATAAAACTATAACAGAGCAACTAATCAGGAACGCTAGTAATGGCCTTATGTCAGGGTTGCTGGTCCTTGACTTGCCCAAAACACCAACAGTGATAATTTTGGTTGGGGTACGCAAAGAAGGTGGCGAAATAGCATCATTTCTTTGCTCAATTATTAGCATGGAGTGCTGACATGAAAAGGCATGTGCACTGTTACACCTGATGTCTAGCCTAGGTTGCGTCCAACTGTATTTGAAGTGCCACCTTGCTCCCCCAAAACATACAGGTATGGTATCATCTTGGAGCAAAGGGTTTACCAGTCAAAACTGAAGAAAGGGGCTCACTACCCCAAATTTTTTGGCGCAGGTTATAGTACACTGGGATTAAGGTAGTCAAACCTAGGCTTTACATTCCATATACAAAAACAACATAGAAGCCGTATATGCAACCACACAAATGAAAAACTTTCTCATTTTAAAGATTTCCTCTTGTCCGTCTAGAAGAGGCAATGCAAAGAGGGGAAGGAGGGGCCTAGGGGGCAGGAAATCCTTAGAGAATCCAGATGAAGATGAAGGACATTTAGATTTAGGACCTACATCTTCATCTGGATTCTGGATTCTGGAAGTGTCTCCTGCCCCCCAGCCCCCTCCTCTTTTTCTCCTGGAGAGTGACAGCCAGGGGATCCTGTTAGGATTGCCCTGCCCTGTGCCTTCTAAGGCTGGACACCAGGCACGTGCATCGCCCTCCTCATCCCTTCCCTCGCTCTTGTGTGACTTCAGGCACCTTAAAACCTAAATTTTACCCAAAAATTCTTGCGGCGGGAGAGGGGTACGCTGAAATCCAGTTTTGTGCCCCACGTCTTGTGGTATGGGGTGTAGTGCTGTTTTCTCTTGTACCTCCAGCCGATTACATGCATCCATCTAATTGGAACTTTACTTCAGCGGGTTGACTGCTTGATTAGGTGGTATAATCATGGTGTTTATGTATACAATCTTTGTTTAGAGACCTGCTTAAAGGATCTAGTATGATTTCTAATCAACAAGCAGCCCTACCAGAGTAACAGCAGCACATGAATATCCTTGTGCGGTTTCAGATTAGTTCCCTTGTGTTCCTTTTTTGAATTGTCAAGGGCATGTTTCTTTTTTAAAAATTATCAAGAGCTTGTTTCCTTTTAAAAAAACTATCAAGAGCTTGTTTCAGTGCAGCATATTAACAGCTATATTCCTGCCCGTGCGTTCATTGAACTGGGCCATTGTCAATACCATCAGTCACTACACTTAAGCCTGACGAGCCTAGTGTCCAAAAGATTCGACACTTGTGGGGTCAGTTAACGGACTGCAACGATCTTGTGAGAGCGAATGAAGGGAGATCAGATATTGACAGTTAATACAGTACTTATTCGCTGTTAATTTTTACATTTCCAATTAAAAGTACCTAGCTACTGGGAACTATTGTAATGAACTCTATTCTCTATATATGCAGTTTTGGCTTGGAAAGTAAGAGAAGAGATAAAACTTTAGAGTAAAGTAGTTAGCATATCTCGTCTTCTTCCCTGGTGATTTTCCTCTTTCCCTGACCAAGTCGACAAACCCTAGCCATTTCCACCCTTATACACCTCAAATCCCGGGCTGGGGCATTGACAAAGGTATAGTCCTTCCTCGGACGGCACGGTGGCGAACGAACGGGAATTCAGCAGAGAACCCTCCCGAGTTTCAGGCATCGGTGGTTCGAGCGATGATCTGACTCGATCCGGCGGCGTGAGGTGGCAGTAGACCAATTCGGACACAAAGCAAGAGGTTGGAGCAGGTTGTCGACGAACATCTCATCCACAGTAAAATCCCTGGTTCCATCTTGCTCTATGTGTCACCGGTGGCTGATTTTTGGATGGCAGCAGGATCTCACCATTTCAATTTGGGTTGCTGAGCTTGTCTTGGTGTAAAACTCCTCTTCTAAACCGGTGAAATCACGATGATGAGGACAACGACCAGGCAGCAACTGGCGAACTTCGATGACGATCAGCTGTCGAACGCTTGGAATCTGAATTGGCGAAGGTGCGTGAAGATATTGCAGCACTTGAGATTTTAGCGGCTGGCATCCATGAAATCAAGGTCAACATGTAGACTGTCCAAGCACTTGATACGATGATGACGAAGTATTCTGCTGGACAGGAAATCCTCATACACAATCACAGAGCATTCTGAAGGTATATTATTTCAACAGAAAGCACAACACACTCCTGTGCTGAACCCACCTTCAGATACTGTGCATGAGACTGAGAAACAGATATTGGACCTGTCTTTCAGACACCAGTGACATCGGGTCAAATTCAGATAAAACAAATGCCACCAGTTACTATTGTTTACTCGGACAGTACCAACTGTGTGACCTCCAGAAGTAAATACATCCACAACACCACAGCAATTTGTGCATCCTAATGGCCTTCATGTTCCTCAACATTTCCAGATTCCACCGATATTACATCCTCCTCCTAGAATGGTGGAACACCACCAGTTTCAACCACATCCAGGAGTTTGGCCAGCACATACGGTTCACATGGGAGCAAACAATTCAGCCCCTCCACTTCCTGAATACAATCCTGCTACTGGTCAATATTTACCAACCCAAACTCCGGTAGAAGGATTTACTCCTCACAGGGTTAGTATGACTGAAATGAAAAAATACAGCAACTGGGAGGCAGTTCTTGTTATGCTGATGCTGTACTTAAGGGGCCACGTTTGGTGGTTACTTTATTTGCTGGTGAAGATCCGATTGGGTGGTTGCAATAATGTGAGAATTTTTTTTGACATATCCGGTACACCAATAGAACAGTGGGTCAACATAGCCACCGGACATTTTTGTGGAAGAGCTAATGTTTGGTTTCAGAATATATGTATCCCATGGCAGATGGTTAACTGGCAGCAGTTTTGTCAGATGATTGCTGGTTGATTTACTCAGGCAAATGCTCATGAGGCAGTGGAGAAACTGCAAGGTATACAGCAGCAAAACACTGTACTTAATTATATAGACCAGTTTGAAGAGTGTGTTCAACTAGTGAGGAGGCACCATCCATATTTATAGGAAGCTTTCTTTATGAGCTGTTTTATAGGTGGTCTTCGAGCAGACATTAAGCATGACATGAGTGGTCAGAGACCTAGGGGAGTGATGGAAGCTTATTGTAATGAAAATGCTGCTAATGTAAAGAGGGCTTATATCAATCCACTATGCAGAAACCAAGAGCAACATTTGCCCCTACTCACAGACCATACTTCAACAGAAACCATGCTGAGCGAATTCCTCCAGCTGGGAATCAGACTGACAGAAACTTGGAACAGAGAACATAGATGTAGGCAAGGCAGAACTCTCCATATCATGCAAGAGATTGATGATGATACAGTTGAATTAGAGGAACAAGAGACTCCACCTACACCAGATCAAGCTTATCACACAGCTCCTACTACTCCAGAACACCCAGAACAAAAATCTGAAGTTATGTTGATGTCTTCTCACTTCTCATGCTGTAGCTGGCCCGGGAGGCCCTGCTACATTTTCACTACTGATTAACATGGGGGGACTTCAAGAAGTGGCACTTGTGGACAGTGGTAGTTCACACACTTCTATTAACTACGACTTTGCTCTTACTGCTAACTGTCATTTACAGTCAGTGTGGCTGGTGGGGGACAATTACAGTCTATTGCCATTGTCCCTCTCACTGCCTATTTCATCCAGGGAAAGAAGTTTTCTTCTGCCTTTAAAACCCTGCCCCTCCACAGTTATGATATCATTTGGGGATGTGATTGGATGTGTAAAGACAGTCCTATTACAATGGATTTCAATGTGAGAACTTTGACAGTGCACAGAAATGGTCTCCTATTGTTTTCACTGATCACACTACAGCTCCTGCCAAGTGCCTGGTTACACTTACTGCTATGAGCAAACTGTTGACTAAACCTGTGATAGGATATATTATACAGGTGTATGCACTAGAAACAGATGAACCAATGACTATAAACATTCAAAAAAAAACTTGTTCAGAAATCAGAATATACTGGATAACTTCCCTCTGGTCTTTCCTGAACCTACATCACTCCAAACAGGGATTGCAACCACACAATTCCTATGACTGCTGGAGCTCAACCACTTAACTCAGACCTTATAGAGTTCCACACATGCAAAAATGGGCGATGGAGGAGATAATCAAGAAAATGATCAAATCCATGGAAATACAACCTAGCTTGAGTCCTTATTCTTCTCTTGATGTTATGGTTAGAAAGAAGGATGGCAGTTGGAGACTGTGTGTTGACTACAGAGAATTGAACTCTATCTCAATCAAGAATAAGTACCCAATGCCAGTAATTGAGGATCTTCTGGATGAAATACATGGAGCAAAAATCTTCAGCAAGCTGGATCTAAGATCAGAGCACCATCAAATCAGAATGGCAACTGAAGATATACGCAAAACAGCCTTTAAGACCCACATGGGGCATTATGAATATGTGGTTATGCCTTTTGGTCTCAATGCTTCAGCCACCTTTTAGAATCTGATGAAAGGCATCTTTCAACCATGCCTTTTGGTCTCACTAATGCTTGAGCCACCTTTCTGAATCTGATGAACAGCACCTTTCAACCATACTTGAGGAAATTCATTTTGTTCTTCTTCAATGATATCTTAATATACAGCAAGTCACTTGAGGAACATGCTGAACACCTGACTCTGACATTGCAAATCTTGCAACAACACTCGTTGTATGTGAAGCTTCAAAAGTGCAGCTTTCCAACAACTCAGGTAGAATACCTAGGCCATGTTATTTCAGGTAAGGGAGTTGCAACAAACCCCAAGACAGTTCAGGCAATTGTACAATGGCCAATACCTAAAACAGTGTCAAAACTCAGGGGTTTCCTTGGAATTACTGGTTATTACAGGAGGTTTGTGAAGGATTA